CCCCACAGTGTCCGGCTCTTTCCAACCTCACCCTTGTAGTATTGTGATGAATGTTCAGGACCCATTTATGAGTGAGAGAAACTGCCAAACTGCTTTCATGGTTGCACAGTTTCACAATCCCCCATTACTGTAGGGGGGGTTCCAGTTTTTCCACAATTTCACCAACATTTGTTATTACTTATCTTTTTTGATGAATATGAAGTGGTATCTTATTGTGGGTTTGATTTGTGTTTCCCTTAAACAATTATGACAAAAATCCTTTCATGTACTTATTGACGATGTGTGTGCCTTCTCTGGAGAAATGTCAATTTCAATCTTTTGCCTGTTTTTTTGGTTGTTTGAGTTGGAGTCTCACTCTGTCACCGAGGCTGGAGTTCAGTGGCACACTCACTGTCACCCTAGCGTTGACCTGCTGGGCTCCAGCGATCCTTCCGCCTCAGCCCTTCCAAGTAGCTGGAACTACAGGCATGCACTACCATGCCCAGCTAATTTTTTTTATTTATTGGAGAGACAAGATCTCACCAAGTTGCCAGGGCTGGTCTCGAACCCATGGGCTCAGGCAATCCACTTGTCTCGGCCTCCCAAAGTACTGGAATTACCGGCTGAGCTACCGAGCCCATTTATTGCCTGTGTTTTAACTGGATTATTTGCCTTTTTATTGTTGAGTGTAGAGGTTCTTTATATATTCTATGTTGAAATCGCCACTTACATGATTCACATATATTTTCTCGCATTAGTGGACTTTTTTTCTCACTTGATTGTGTTCCTTGAAGCATGAAACTTTTTAATATTGTTAAAATTCAGTTTTTCCTTTTTCATTTGCGCTTTTAGTGTCATGTCTAAGAAACCATTACCTAACCAACGGTCACAAGTATTTACTACTATGTTTTCTTCTAAGAGTTTTATAGCACATACATTGAGGTCCATGAGGCCCATGATAGATTTTTTTTGTTCATTTTGGGCTTTGACGTGAGGTAGATCTTCAAGTTCACACCATTCTATGTGATTATTCACTTGTCTTAACACCATTTGTTGAAAAGTCTATTTTCCCCCCATTGAATTGTCTTTGCACCCTTACCAAAAAGCAGCTGACCTTAAATGTAAGGGTATATTTTGGGCATCTTTATTCCATTGAGCTATTTGTCTGTCCTGATGCCACACTGTCTCAACTTCTATTGCTTTGCAATTTTGAAACTAGGAAATATGAGTCATCCAACTCTGTTTTTCTTTTCAAGATTGTTTCAGTTATTCAGGGTTTCTTAATTTCCATATAATTTTTAGGATCAGCTGGTCAATCTGCAGAAAAAAGGGAAGAAGGAAAGGAAGACAGCAAGTACACAAGCACCTGGAATTTTGAGAGGGATTGCGCTGAATCTGTAGCTCAATTTGAGGAGTATTGTTTATTGTTTTCTTAACACAATTCAGTCTTACACTTCGTAAACATGGAAAACCATTGAGCCCCCCACACCCAAAAATAAAAAATGCAAAGACTGTTGATACACAAAGCAACATGGATAAAATTCATCTTAATTATAATACACAGTCCTCCCAATTCAGAGACCAGGCAACCTTTAAATATGTGAAAGAATGTTCTTAAATCAATTTTTTAAAAAAATCCCTCGCTCTATTCTTAAAGATTACGAACCCAGCACAGATTTCCCTCTCTTAAGCTACAGCTGTTTCCATAAAATCCTCCCTTTCAGTTATCTTCAAATGACCTTATTGTTCATTGTAATGAGGAGAAAAAAGACTGTCTTTTTTCCACTGGCCAGTCTTTATTCTGCTGGTGAATCTTTATTTAGCAGGTGGATAAGTTTTATCATAGTTACTTGCAGTGGGAAGTAAAAATACTTGTAAACTGGAAGAGGAAGAAAAAGGTGGTGGTACTTGAGGTAGAATGCAGAATCAATGTACATCAAGAAGGAACGAAAATGTGCGACCTGATGACATTTTAAGTATATTTTAAATGATACGGTTTGGACGGAAGAACTTACTCATTTGGCCTGACTTGTATTTCAGTGTACAATATTTGAATATACAAAATTGCTGCAAGAGAAATGCTGTTTATCCAGTCCTACAGAGCAAGTAGAAAACATATTTCAGATATCCCCACGTGTGTTTTTGTTTTTGTTTTTGTTTTAGAAAGCAGGATTTATTGAGAGGAAAGAAAAGCTCCCACAGTGGGAGGGGACCTGAGGAGGTTGCCAGTTTTTTCTTTTTAGAAGAAGCTGTTTTTATTTTAAAATGGGAGATGAAAATTAATTAGGGAAGAGGTGACCGACAGAGAAGCTTGTAATCTAGAAATCAGGAAGGAGATGCCTCTACTGTTTCTGCTTTCTTCCCCAAGACATCCTGGCATAATTGAGGGAAGAGGAAGCAGAAGTGTAACCATCAGTCATCTAAGACTGAAGATGTCAAGCGTCATGATTTGGTCCCTGTCTATTATTTGAGAACCCCCTTCCAGGGTGTCTAGTAGTCCTTCTCACAGATAGTGTCTGTGATTTTGCAAGTATGATTCACTGGAGCACGCCTTTTCATACGGGGTCAACAAATAAGAAAAGTTCAAAACAAATATAGCGGCCAAATGTAGTTTCTTTACATCATAACCTGGCAATGGATTTCTTTCATTACAAAAAGTATTACCAATTATATCATATTAACGTCATTGTCAAGTGATTATTTTGAGATGAGGAAAGTAAATAGGAAGATAAAAATTAACAACCGGGTGTGGTGACTCAAGCCTGTAATCCCAGCACTTTGGGAGGCCAAGGTGAGAGGATTGCCTGAACTCAGGGGTTCAAGACCAGCTTGGGCAACTTGGTGAGACCTTGTCTACAATAAATCAAAACATAAGCCAGGCATGGTAGTGCATGCCTGTAGTTCCAGCTACTTGGAAGGCTGAGGTGGAAGGATTGCCTGAGTCCAGCAGGTCGAGGCTCTGGTGGCCATGAGCGTGCCACTGCACTCCAGCCTGGGTGACAGAGTGAGACTCCAACTCACAAAAAAAAAAAAAAAAAGAATTAGATTTGTCAGGGAGCAAAAATAGTAGTCAAACAAAATGAAAGTGGCCTGGGATGGTAGCAGTATTTAATACAGCCACCCACAGAGGAGTTCTTAACTTCTTTCTACATTAGCTCTTGTAAGTACTGAAATTCATGATGCAGGAAAGATTGTAGTTATCTGTCTACAGGTATGCTACCTTACTCAGGATTTACAGTGTGCTTTGGTTAGTATTACTGATAGTAAAATATAAAAGCCTGTTAATAAGTTGTCTCTTATTCACACATTCTCACCATTTGCAATATTTCTTTCTAGTGAGGGAGACACTATGCCATGCTGATTGGGCGTGTGGATTCTGGAGTCAGGGAGCCCAAGTGCTAATCCTGTCTCCATCATTTACTAGTGGTGTGATTCTGAGTAGATAGCTTAATTTCTTTGTGCCTCCATTGTTCTCATCTGTGAAATGAGGGTAATAATTCCCACTTAATAAAATTAAGAAGGTTAAGTAAGTTATTATTTGTAAAAGTGCTTAGTGACTTGTGCATCAGTATTATATAGATATATGTTAAATAAAGAAATCATATAATGTCTTAATTTCCACGTAGATGATAAACTTTTCAATGTTAATGACTGTATCTCCTCCATGTTATATAAATTCTCATGACATCTAGTGTTAACATTTACATAGAAAACATTTGGCAATTATCAGAATAACTTTCTAGGTGAAAGTGGAATGGTATGTGTGTACACATTAAAATGCTGAAAATGGCAAATTCTGTTGCATGTTTATTTTACCACAATTTTTTTTAACATGTAAAAGCTTATAAGGAATGGGATGTAATACTAGAGTGGAAAAAAATCTAACAAACACTACCATAACCAAGTGATCAAGGTTAAAACAACATTACTTTTGTGAATTATCCAGGTATGATGGGACATACCTGTAGTCCCAACTATTTGTGAGGCTGAAGCAGAAGGATTGCCTGAGTCCAGGAGGTGGAGGCTGCAGTGGCCATCAGCAATCCAGCCTGGGTGGCAGAGACCCCAACTCTAAATAAATGAATGAATGAATAAAATTACTTTTGTGACCTTCCTGCCAAAAATGTATAATCTGAATCAAATTGGGAGGTAACATCAGATAAATTTAAATTGAGGACATCGTACAAAACAACTGGCCTTTAAAAATTCTCAAGAGTGTCAAGGTCATGAAAGTTGAGAACTAAAAGCTTTCACTTTAAAAGAGATAAAAGAATACTGATAACTAAATGTAGTGGATAATTCCGAATTGCATTATTTTGCTATAAAGGACATTACTGAGACAATTGAAACTTAAATGGGGTCTGTGGGTAAGTCATTATAATATAAAATGTTAGATTTTTTATAATTTCTATGCTGGTACTGTGGTTTTGTAACTGGATGTCCATGCTTGTAGGAAATAAGTACTATCAGGATGATAGGATATTATGTCTACCAGTTTCAAGTGGTTAAGGAAAGTAATGCTGTTTGTACTACTCTTGAAACTTTACCCAAAAATGTGAAATAATTTCAAAATAAAGAGTGTTCACACAAACTATTAAAAACATGTAATTAGGAAGAACTGCACAGTTTGCTTTTAAGAAATAAATAAAAGAACCTGAATGAAGTAGTGATTGTGGCTGAAACGAGACCCCATGATTAGACAGTGTTGGAGTCTAACTGCCCAAGAAATGGGAATTCTTTTCTATTCCATAAGTTACAAAAACAGTCTCTCAAACCCAAGTGTTTCAAGTAGATAAACTGAGAATAATCTCAGTGGTGATTGTATAGTAATATGATAATACCAGTTATAATATCAATGGGAATATTTAAAAGTGGGAAAATCAGTTTATACATCGTGACATTGTCATTTCGAATTTAGAATATGAAAAGTAAAAATATCACCACATGAAATGTACAAGTAGCGCATAATGAGACCATTTTCTTTTGAAAGAGTCATGTTTCTCGGCACCTTCTTGTGGCAGGTGATGCTGAACAGGAGCTTGGCCCCCCTCCATCTGTAGACGAGGCAGCAAACACACTCATGACTCGCCTGGGTTTCCTCCTTGGAGAGAAGGTCACAGAAGCTCAGCCAGGCGACCAGTACAGCATGGACGTGCAGGATGAGAGTCAGGTGAGCTGCTTGCTCGCGCTTTGTGAAACATGGTACAAATCGGTGTAATATACCAGGAGAAGAAAGGGGGGGGGGCGGTACATGAGTGTGTGCATGTTCGTTCTGATGGGAATGATTTCAATTGTTGAATGCCTGTTGAGACCTAGAATACGACTTAAACTTCCATAATCACAGTATTTCTTCAGTTTACAAAACATCTTTTCATTTCATTTTTATATTTAAAAGCCCCAGAATCCAGTTATAAGTTTTGATTCATTTACTGAATGAATGAAGAGATGAATAGATCAAGCAGTAAGCAAGCCAACAAACAGACCCGACCCATGCTGAGCCCGTTCCCCACACTGGCGGGTCTACATTGCTATGCTGAGGCATAGAGCAGGTCTCAGCAGGTTCTAGAAGATTCCAGTTCCTGTGACGGTGTAGAGTTTCGAATTACAAAATGATAACTTAGAGAGTGATATCTAAAAGATAACTTAGAAAACCCCTTAATGTTTAGATGTTAGATAATACATGTCTAAATAGCCTTCAAGTTTAAGAAGAAATTCCAAAAAATTAGAAAATATTTTAAACTGAAATAAAAACTAAGTGTAAAAAAACTTACAGGTTATAGCTAAAGATGTGCCTTAAAAGAAATATTAGTTTTAAAAGCAAATATCAGAAAAGCAGAAAATATGGAAAATTAATAACCCAAGTTTCTATGTCAGAAAGTTAAAAAAATCAGCAATTTAAGTTGCTTTGTTTTCTTTTCTTTTTTGTCATTTCCATTTTTTTCTTCCATTTAAATGTATCAGAGGAAGTACAAGGACCAGATTCACTTCTGTGGTCTTCATTTTTAACATGTAGTGAATCGTTTATTCAGAAGATGACAGAAATTCATTTCAAATAGTGTGTTTTTAATTGGTGAAGATCCTATGTCATGTGTTCGTTTTAGCACAGTGAGACATGTCCTGTGGGCGTGTTCAGGTGTTCAGTCTCTCCTCCAGCCTGCCTGCTCTTTCTGTCCTCACTCCTTCGGTCACTGGTTTTGCTGGCTGGGAGTTTCATAAAATTCACACACCCAGTGACTCTAGGCTTATTGATTCTCTTTCATTCTTGTTTCTTTAAATGCAGTTTTACCTCCCGAGTTACCTCTAGCCTGCCTTTCCCCCTTTGCTCTTAAGTAATCAGTGTATTCAACTTTCTACATGGTATTTTCTACAGATGTGTTTAAGATCCATCGCACGGACCATGTCAGTAACTGAGCCCTTGCACTTCCCCCACCACCCACTCCTCCTCCAGTGTCTCCCCTCTGAGTAAACAGCATCACCCGCTTGCTGAGGACCAAAGCAGTGGAGCCTTTCTTGACTTCGCTGTCAGAACCCACGTTCGCTTTTTCAGCAAACTGTAGGCTGTCTTCAAAAGATATACCAGACCTGGTCCTTTCTCTCCCCTCCCACTGCTACACCTGTGTCCACACCACTGCCATCCTTTGCCTGGGCAATCGCTACTGGAAGGTCAGGCTACAGGCCTGGGACCTTGTTTGCCTGTTCTCCCCACTGCCCTAGCCTCTGCCCCTGGAACAGTGTCTGTCGCTAGCAGGTCCTCAACACTCACTGCGGGGTTAAATGGCCCAGATGGCTCTGGTAGGTCTCTACTTCCACTCCTCCCCCGCCTCAGTCTGTTGACGCGGTAGCCCAAGTGAGCCACATAAAGTGAATCTGATGCTGCCACTTCGCGAGTCTTCCACCGTATTCCCAGCACACACAAGATCGAAACTCTTGCCCATGGCCTGGGAGGCCCTGCCTGACCTGGCTGCTGCTGCCTCTCCTCCATCCCTTCCTCCCCTTCTCCCTTTCATCCTCTGCTCTCCACATTAGCCCCCTTGTCATGACTTGAGCACGTAAAGCCTCTTTATGTACGCTGGAACGTTCCTCCTCCACAGCTGACTTCCCTCGGCACTCTGCTCAGATGTCACTTCTTCGGAGAGGTCTTCCTTAGTGGCTGGTGTTACAGCACCTGCCCGTCACTGCATCCTTGATCCTGTGACTCTGTCTTCTTCCTAGCTCTTACTGTTAATTGGCCTCACGATGCATGTTTAGTTGTGGGATTATGCCCTATGCTTCACAATGGCAGGGCTGATGATTGTTTTGAAATCAGGTTACACTGTGACAATGACAATATGCTAGACTCTAGGAATGATATTATTGAGGGATCTTTAATATCTCTTTCGCTTTTCATTTATTGATGTTTGGTCAAGTTAAAATGTGATTATTCTAATAGTGGCCAGGTCGCAAGGATCCAAGCCTTACAGCCTGAATATTCACTGAAGACCTTGTTGTTTCTGCACAACTCCATTTCTTCAGGGGATAAAACACAGTTGTGGCTTTTGAGATTCTACATGTGATAGGGATTTCTGAATAAGGTTGTCGTCAGTCTGTGGCGTGTGCCTTACTCGTACATTACTGAATAAAATAGTCTTGAAATACGTAAATGAGTATTTTAAATCATTTATTTAACATGATTAAATGTGTTAATGTGTATAATAGGAGAGAAAAAAACTTGTGTTCTAGCTCCAACTCACCCACCTGCCATTTTGTAAACTTGGATATGCCCCTTAAACTCTCCAAGCTTTAGGTTTTTCGTAAGGAATATTAACTGATGTTTATTAAATGCTTACTGTGTACCAGTCATCATTGCACTAATTCCATCATTCCATTTAAGCTTCCTTACAACCCAAAGGATTCATTCTTATTCCAATGTTTAGACAAGATGGAAACACATTGCCAGAAAGTGATGGGATGACATTCTCGTGCAGACCATCTATGTTAACAGCTCATGTTCCTGTTTTTGTTTTAATTTTTTTTTTTGAAAGCAGGATTTATTAAGAGGACAGAAAAGCTCCCACAGTGGAAGGGGACCTGAGGGGGTTGCCCAGCTTGAGCTCTTGACAACCACACCACACTGTCCCGTGTAATGGGGGAGAATACCACCTGGCAGGATTGTTGTGAGGCTGAAATTAAACCATGAATATGGAGCTACTTGGTAAGCTGTAGAAAAACATGTAAACAGAATGAATAAAACAATATGCAGTGTAATTAGTATGTAAATATTCGCAGGAAGTGTAAGATCTGAGGAAAAATACTTCATAGCTTTCATCTTCTTGATGGCATCATTTTTACATTTTCTTAAATGGGGAAGATAACATTAAGCTTCTCATACCAGACTGGTAGAGTGGTAAGTAGTAAATGAAATAATATATAAAAATATTTTTAGACTGTTAAACCTCACACAAATCTAAGATACTAATAATGAAGTTAAATGATAGCCCTTTCAGAATATAATATACCGTGAAATTATCTTGGAACCACACAAGAAAGTGACAAAATTGATTATTGGAATTTCTAGTCCTAGGAAGATGATTAAGAACTGGGAGGTCATATTCATTTGGTGACTTTCTCCTGAGTTAGGTAGCACACTAACAGAGATAGACTACTGCATTAAGGAAGATCTTGCAGTAATCCTCAGACTAGTACTAGTGGTAGCAGAATCTAACACAAGCAAAATCATTTTTCTGCAAAAGACAAAGTAGTGAAAGTGATATTCAGCTGACCTCTTTATTTTCTTCTCTCAGTAGTTTCCCATAAAATGGACCCTAGGAATTCTATCCGTAGGTTCTTTCCCTATGTATTTACAGGACCTTTTAGAGATCCACGTTGGGAGATTTCTTAGGAATCTTCTGGAGAACATTAAGGACAATGAGAAAACTACTGAATTTTTTTGGAATTGGGATGACTTAATTAAATGTCCATTTTAGTATAGCATGGTGAATAAATAATGTTTTTCTATGTCCCATTACCTAGCCTCCCTAAATAAATATAAAGCCAGCCTTATATAAGCCAAGAACACTGTTCTGTTTTCTAAAGTCTTGATATTTAAGCTTTGCCTTTCATTAAAACTTTAAAGTATAATATTCTGTGATATGTGTTTTATTTTGCAGAAGATAATTTGTAGCAAAATTAGTAAGTGTTGTTCGAATTTAATCTCCGCATTGGCTATATTATGTACATAATAATTTTTCTTTCACAAACAGAATGAGAATCTTGTCTAAGAACAGGAATGGGTGGTTATAGAAGTAATAGATGGATTCCAAAGTAAAACTTTTAAAATATGGGATGACTAGACATATCTAATGTGAAAAGACTTCAGTGTAGCTTATCTCAGCCACCCACGTTTCTCACACTAGAGATGGGGAGGTTAAAAATTGCATGCCAGATTCTAACCTTAAGAATTCTAATTCAGTATGTCTGGGGTGGAGTTCGGTGTCTGTCACTTTTGTGCAGAGCTCTTTTGTTTGTTTTTTACGTTCCACGTGTGATTCTGCTGTGTGCCTGGTTAAGCGCCATCGATCTGGTGGACTGGCATCGTTTTATGGAAACAGAAGAGATTACAAATAAGTTGAAATTGCCCCCCTTCCCTAGAGAGACAATATGTAGTGGAAGACAAATTTGCGTGCTTGTTATATTATTTTTTAAAATCAGTTTCTAATATTATTGATATGATTTAAAAGATTGACTTCGTTGCAGAGTATGAGAATGTCACTTGTGCTTGGTTGAATGAGTCGAAGGTATCTTTTAAGTTCTATAACTGGTTATAGTATTTAAATTAAAATGAAAACCTAGACTTAACACAGGTATAAATGCAAAGGATTGCATCTGGAGAAGTTGACAAGCCTTAATATGCTCATAGCTAGTTATGAACAAATTCTCCAGTTATTAAATTTCAGCAGAGTATAAATAGGGACTATATGATAAAAAGTTGAAAGTCTTTTAAATTGAACATTTGTAGATGTTAAATTTATCATTAGTGCTTCTATAAGTGATTTTGCCGTTTTAAAAAGGGAAAAATTTCTTTAGTATTTGAAAAATAGACTTTTATTCACTACTTCAGTAATTTATTTGGGTAGAAAGAACTGAAAAAAGTGAATTATCATTTATTTAAATTAGGAAAACCAGAATATAGTCTCACAAGGAAGTTATGTGAAGTGTAAGAAACATTTGGGATCCAAAGTGATCTCAGACTATAATCAGTTTCTACACAAAAGTCATTTAGTCTTGTATTAAATTAGGATTGTTCTATTTTATTAGACAAATTTAGAATAAGATATTTTTTACTACATTTATTTATTGTCTCTGGGCAGCTGCCAGTGTGTTGAAAAAGACGTTTCTTTGCATTAAGAACTTTATTTCTCCTCAGCTGCAGATTTTTTTTCTATGTATAAAGAAAATTATTAACAAGACAAAGTTCTAAGCCTTCTGTAAAGTTTTATTGATTGTAAGGAAAACTTGTGCTTAATAAAAAATATATTTATTCTGTCAGTTAATGGCTATAATAAAGAACTTGTCACTGGAAATTTCCTCGACAGAAAAGCTGGCAGCAGTCTCTGCTTCTGTTAAATCCATCGAGTTTTACCTTAATTGTAGAACCCCAAATCTCTTATCCCGGAAGGCAGCAGACAGAGCCTGGTAGGTGTAAGAGCTGTGCATGCAGATTATTTTTTCCTGTTCACCAAGGCCTTGCCTTTACCTTAAAACACACTCTGCCTGCTGGCCAGTGGGTCTCACGCGCGATGATTCCAACTTCCAGGCCTCTGCAGCCAGCCAGCGCATCAGCCCCTGCTCCACCCTGACGAGCAGCACCGCCTCTCCGCCAGCCGGGAGCCCCTGCTCTACCCTCCCACCCCCCGGCACGAAAGCCACTGCCAAGGACTGCAGCTACGGGGCTGTCACCAGTCCAACCTCCACCCTCGAAAGCAGAGACAGTGGCATCATTGGTGAGTTGATTTCATGTTAACCATTTGGAGTCCTTTTAAACCGTTTTCCGAGCAGTTGCGCAGCGGAAGGTTTTCAGAATTCTGCTTTGGAGGAGTTGAGGTGTGTAAAACCTGTCCTGGTCTCTTTGATGATGCTGGAGGGAGAAATTTAAAGGCAAACAAAATGAGAGGTATCCCTCCCTGCTTAACCACGTCTTCTCAGGATACTCCCTGCTAAGAAGGAGTGATTTTTAAAATTCCGTGTACTTCTTCCTGTAAATTCATGTACATCGTCTGTCTACCAACAGAAGCGGTTCAGAAAAAGTTCATTCCTCACTGTATAATATAGTGTTTCATGGAAACAGAAAGAGGAGATTAAGATTAAAGTGGAAGAGTTTAGAAAACTACTAGGTCCTAGAGATATAGCTAAATTTCCAACCCCAATTATTAGCAATTTGCAGCAGATATAAAAACTACTCTAGGCCAGGCACAATGGTTCACATCTGTCATTCCAGCACTTTGGGTGGCCAAAACCGAAGGATCGCTTGAACCCAGGAGTTCAAGACCAGCCTGAGCAACATAGCGAGACCACACCTCTACAAAAAATTTTAAAAATTAGCTAGGTGTAATGGTACATGCCTGCAGTCCTAGCTACTTGGGAGGCTGAGGCAAAAGGATTGCCTGACCCAGAAAGTCGAGGTGAGCCATGATCATACCATTAGCCTGGGCCACAGAATGAGACCCCTGACTCAAAAAAATAAAAACCACTCTGATAAAAGCAGTGCTGGTGGAAAATGATGTCATTTATTCTCTCCAGTAGACTCTAGGTAAACATCTCATGAGAACTGCATATGGGCTGCTATAGCACTTATGTTTAGGGCTCACTTATGTTTAGGGTTCAAGACACCATCATTTCTGTGTATTGTGAGGATTCAACACCTATCGCTATAAAAATCATGTAGGCTATTTCTACCTTAGGAAGTCTTTCTTCGTCGTGCTCAAAATTGTTTATGATCTTTCTGCAGTAATATTTCCTACTAATGCTTTTTGACTTAACTAGAGAGAAAGTATGAAAGTGTTGTGATTGCCCTTTGGGACCCTGCTCTAACTGCTGTTCCTGTGCTTAGGTGTGCAGATAGTAGGGCGAGGGGAAGACAGCATTCAGGGGCTTTGCTGTTTCTCTGGTTGTTAGATTGTTGTACAATGATTCAGATATTGATCATTTCAGAAAATGCTCAAAAATTGCATTTCCTTTATTAGTGGAGTTACCAGGTGAACTTCTTTTGACAAAATAGCCTGTGTACGTTTTCAAGTTACAGGTAAACATGTAACAGTGGTATAAAACTGTATCTTTATACTCTGTGAGAGGATAAAATGACTACCTGGTTAAGGAAGTTGGGCTTCTTTCCAAAAGAAAAATGGCATTTTTGGGCATTCCTTGTGTGTCTGACTTTCAGATAATGACAGTGTCATAGGCCCTAGCCAGCTTTATGTAGAGTAAAGAAGTAGATGGGGAAAAGTAGACAATCATAAAAAATAATTTTAATTAAAAGTTGCTTATGGTTAGATTTCTCTCCAGAACCCCCAAATTATAGTATTTACCAACCCTAATTAAGTATTTAGGACTAAGGAATACATGAGGAATGAATGTGTTTTATCAAACAAGGCTGGAGAGTGTTGTTCTCTAGGATTGCACATGTGAATTTATGGATTTATGTGTATACAAAGATAGACAAAAGTAATTATCTTGTTTTCTTCTCTCCCTGTGGAGAGAGTTGAATTAATAACACTTCTCAGTATATGTAGATTGAGCTGTTGAAAACTCATCTCCTACTATTATGTTATTACTTTTTCCCTTTATCTTCAATCCCATTTAATTGCAGCCGTGCTATTGTGCTCATCCTTGAATATCAATACATCCTTGAAGTCTGCCTATTTTGTGTGTGTGTGTTTGTGTGTGTGTGTGTGTTTAATTTATAAAGTGGCGTGTTGCTCTAGATCTTGTTCTGTTTTTTAAGATCTATGAGGGGAACCAGTACAAACTCAGAATTGTCTTTGACATTTTGGAGAGCGAGCCCCTTGGAGTACAGGCTTTCCCTCACTTTCCCTCCTGAGTGAGTGTTCTAGAAACCTGTGGGCATCCACCTACCAGCTAGCATTGTTGTGAGAGGCTGCATTCATCTTCAGTGAATTTTGGGAGGGACGATTCTGTCAACACATTTGCCCATTTCGTGATAAGTGATTTATTCGCGCACATGCCCACACTACGCCAAGTCTTCAGCAGTTTTTGACCAAAATTGACATGACCCTGTGCCCCACCCTCCGTATTCACCCAGTCTCATCCCAAGTGCCTTTTTCTGGTTTCCTCAGATGAAAAAGGAAAAGTTCTCAAAGGGAAACATTCTGCCAATATGGGAGAGATGAAACAAAAAATGGCAGAAGCCCTGAAAGGCATCAAAATTGATGAATTAAAAAACTGTTTTGAGTAGTGGAAAAGACATCTCGATAAGTATATTACATCCAATGGAGAGTACTTTGAAGGTGACTGAAATGTAAACATGTAAGAATAAATATGCAGTCTTTATATATGCCATTTTTGTAAATAAATTCCAGGGTTTTGCAGGGGAGGTCCCCCTTATATATAAGCTCCAGTTTTTTTGCTTCTGATTCTGTAAGAACGCATTCATTATATTTTACTTGTGAACACTTAGATTACTTCAAACTCCTCTACCATTTGTACATCCTTTTCCTAGAGTTTATGTTTATATCTAGGTCATGGGGCATATGATTTTTTAATTCTGTGAAGTGCTTCCAGATGGTTATCCAGAATAGTTGTAGGGATGCCCATTCTCATTAGCAGTATGTAAAACGTTTTTTCCTTTTCCTCACATCTTTGTTGACATTAGCTATCCCAGTTCCAAAATTCAGACTCTGAAAGCCATAAGTTTTATTTTTTAGTAAATGTACATTAAATTTATCTGGCTGCAAAATGTCATTAGAACTTAGATAAGGCTACTCACAGTATTTACTTATCCTAATAAATGCATTTCATTGTAGAAATATTAATAGACTCAATTCAGGATGCTACTTTCAGTTCCATATACAGTATTGGCATTTTTTTACTTTTCTAAAGTTAGAAGCAGTCTGTATTCTGAAATACATCTGGTCTTGAGAGTTTTATATATGGATTGTGGAGCTGTGTTGTCTGACATTCTAATTTTAGTAAATCTGGTGTGTATCAATTGCATCTTATTTTAATTTGCATTTCTTTCATTAGTATGGAGGTTCTCCAACTCTTCATATACTTACTGCCTCTTGTATACTTGTTAAGGGGAGTCATTCAAATGGAAATAGGAGAGGTTTTGGGAAAAGAAGAATCTGAAGAAGAGAAACACAAAAAGAACACAGAGGACTGAGCATAAAGTCTTAAGAGCACATTCAAAGAGAGCAGGGACTTGGAAGTGGGAAGCAAGTGAGCCAGTGGAGACCAAATAGAAAAAGTGAGCCATGCATGAGAAGAGTTGGGGCAGCACAGTGGCACCAGAACCAAGGACTGGGGCGGGGCGGGGGGGGTTGACCAACAAATGACAGAAGCTTGGGAGGCCAAGGAAGATAAGGACGATTAAAGGGTAAGTAGACAAAATAAACATCTTTCCATATTTGACTTTTTCTATAGGTTACCAAGTCAAAATAGTTATTAGAAGTATGACAGCTGTTAATGCCATGACAACTAAGTATATCTCTGTAACTCACATAAATATTTATCCAAAAAATGTCTTTCATTCATTCATTGTAATACAGTAGAGTAAATAAAAATAGTACTTATTCAACAAAGTTGCAGAATACAAAATCAAGCGGGTTGCATTTTTATCTCCTAACAACGGAAAATCCAAAAAGAAGAGTAAGGAAACAGTTCCTTTACAGTGGCATCAGAAAGTTCCCTGTCTTGATTGTCATCTTGAGGATTCTTGGCCATTCTGGGCCCTTTCTCCCTCCAAATAAATTTAACATCAGCTCATCACATTCCATGAGGACCCCTCCCCCTTCTGAATCTTGTTTCCATTATACCATTCTATATGCCTTAACTAAAGTTAAGTTAATTGAAAACCAGTTACTCATTTGACTCCCAGTTACCTGGAAGGTAAAGAAAATATTTCCCCATATACTGCCTTTGACTTCTGTTTACCTATAAGAGTCAATAAATTGATAAATAGGTAAATAAACTGACGTTGTCTAGATGGATAGGCTCCCACTTACTTAGGGCCTCTTGCTCTGGTGGTGGCTGACTTTCCCCGCCCGCTCTCCTGCTTCTCGCCTTGTATTCGGTGTTTGGGCAGCATCAGCTCTTGTTGCCTGACATATCCCAGGTTCTCATTTCTGTGCTTTGCTCACGCTGGCTGCTCTTCCTAGAAGCTTCTCCCCCCTTAGGCTTGATGGTCTGTCTCATCTCCTAAGAGTTCATTTAAGAAGCATTCTGTCTCCACTGCTGCCACCATCTCCTTCCAGCTCTGCACTCCAACTCCGGTTTGGTGCGTATAATTACTGCGCATTCCCCATGCCTAGTTGTGTCATTGCATTTAATACATGGTGTTATAGTTACTTTTTGAGTCTGTTCTTCCTCCATTACATCATTAACTCATTGTTGGCAGATACTGTGCCATATTCATCTTTGTGTCTGTAGCCCCTAGTCTAATGACTGGCATGTGGTGGTGTTGCAGACACTCAGAACACGTTTATCAAAGGAAGAAAATCTTACTGATGGGAGGGGAAGGGATGAAGGGCTCACCTGGCATTGTTTTTTTGGCATTGCTTAGAGTGACTATTGGGTACAAGATGGAGCTTTATTATATTTTGCATGAACTGTACAGGTTAGAATTCTCCACTGACTAATTTTGTTCTCTTAAATTCTCTTTATGATTAATTTTGGCAAAACAGCTTTTATAATTCCTAGCTTAACTTTTCCTGTTTTCTTCTCGTGATATTATTAGAGTATCTATAACCGCATATCATCTACATTGCAT